CCTGCTGAAGTCATTCAAACTCGTTTTAACGAAGTGGAAAACCATTATGAATATTATGTTCACTATGAAGGTTATAACAGAAGATTGGATGAATGGGTACCTCGAGATAGAATTATGTCCAGTAGGTTTGACATGAGCGATCGATCCTGGAAAAATGGTGATAGGAGTCAGAGCATTGATCTGCTAGCCGATTCATCGGATAGAAAGATTACGAGAAATCAAAAAAGACGTCATGATGAAATTAATCATGTGCAAAAAGTAATTACTTAAAGGATTTTATTGTTTATAATATTAATCATACTTAATAGTAAGTTAAATGTATTTCTTTAAGACATATGCTGAAATGGATCCTACAACTGCAGCATTAGAGAAGGAACATGAAGCAATCACAAAAGTAAAATACATTGACAGGATACAAATAGGTACACGTACATTAAGAATTTATTAGAATAGACTTTTCTTTTTTTACAAAACGACTTATACAAAATGTATTGCAGGTAAATACGAAATAGATACATGGTACTTCAGTCCATATCCAGAGGAGTATGGGAAACAACCAAAACTTTGGATTTGTGAATACTGTCTGAAATATATGAGGCTAGAAAAGACATATCGATATCATATGGTGATTAAATATATTCATTTTATATGTATATTCATTCCAATATTATATCGGGGAGAATATAATAACATGCTTTTATTTTAGAGCGAATGTACTCATAGACAACCACTGGGTAAAGAAATTTATCGAAAAGGGACACTAAGTATTTGGGAGGTTGATGGCAAAGAACACAAAATTTACTGCCAAAACCTTTGCCTACTGGCGAAATTGTTTTTAGATCACAAAACACTTTATTTTGATGTCGAGCCCTTTCTATTTTATATTTTATGCGAAGTGGACAAGCACGGAGCACATCTGGTCGGATATTTTTCAAAAGTAAGCCACATATTCTAAAGTATTATATATATATATATATATATATTTGAAATCAGTGCGATGATAATAAAAAATTTATTATAAATTTTCAAGGAAAAAGAGTCACCCGATGGTAATAATGTTGCTTGTATTCTAACTCTACCACCGTTTCAAAGACAAGGATATGGTAAACTTTTAATAGCTTTCAGTTATGAATTAAGTAAGATTGAACAAACTGTAGGAAGTCCAGAGAAACCACTAAGTGATTTAGGTAAACTGTCTTATCGAAGTTATTGGAGCTGGATTTTACTTGAAATTCTGCGAGACTTTAGGGGAACATTAAGTATTAAAGATTTAAGGTGCGTATTTAATTAATTTACATTGATTTAACTTATTATTTTATTCAGAATATTCACAAAAAAACAAAAGAACAAAAAAACAAAAAACAAAAAAAAAAGGTCCCATCAATAGTTAAACAAAAGTATCATTAACGTGGATCTATCCAAGCTTAGTTTACACACATTATTTTCAACTATACAATCTTTATCTCTTTGTTTTGATAAGTTAATTCTTTTTTCTCTTCCTTAATTTTATGAAACAAAACGTTGGGACAATTGTATTTTACAATTAACAATTTTCAATTAATGTATGATATTTTTTTCAATAGACATATTAAATTGATTATTGACGTGATAACATTATTTAATAAAATAAAGCTAATAGAATTTTTAGATTTTTCAAAAATTCATCCGTCAGCTTTCTTTCATTTATCTCTGATTATTAATAATAACATTTCTTATCTTTATTTCAAGTCAAATGACTAGTATATCGCAAACGGATATAATCTCTACTTTACAAAGTATGAATATGGTAAAGTATTGGAAAGGTCAGCATGTGATATGCGTCACGCCAAAACTTGTAGAGGAACATATTAAAAGTAGTCAATACAAGAGGCCAAGGCTCACTGTAGACAGTAATGCGTTAAGATGGGGAGCACCGCCTCGGAAAAACATCAAACCCGGAAAAAAGTAAAATAATCGAAGCCACTCCAGCGGTGTTGCAGCAGAACTTAAATGTTCTTTAAATTTAAACCATTCCTGTAAATTTGTTTATCTTATACTACGAAAGAAGTTTAATTCAATTTCTTGAAATATTTTAAAATTATGCTCTTCAATTTTTGTGCTCGATTCGTGCGACAATGAGAAAGTTTTATCGATGAAACAACAATATAATCATGATTTGCAGTGATTTTTTGCGAAAATAACAAAATCGTGCCTCGCTCGGAAAAGCGACATAAATTATTAAGAAATATTGTCATTAAGCAGTATTAACCGTTATTAGTGTTTTTTCTTATATAAAGTAACAATAAAGTATAGGGAATTTTTTAAATAAAAATTCGTTTATTCGTGAAAATTGTAAACACATTTAATTGTAAATTTTGTAATTTATATCATAGATATTATGCCATTATCCTAATATTGTTAGTTATTAGAGCTGTAAATATTATTTAAATAAAATGTCGAAAGAAAAATTCATTTATAATTTCGATGATGTTCTGAGAGCGTCTTCGGCTAATTCAACTGCGTATTTAGAAGTACCGGGTGCTGTACATATGCCATAACCTCCATGTCCATAATTGTGAACAACCTATTTTATAATGAAATGATTAAAGAAATTGTTATGTACATACTAAATTTGTTACATCGAACTATCAACACAATACTGTAATAACAATTCTTATCGTCATCTCCGTCTCTATATAATGTCCATGCCATATAAGATAACGATGCATGCTATTGTCTTGTCAATAACCTCGAAATATTTATTTAAAATTTTCTATATTTTAAGTGCGTTAAAATTGTTTCTATTAATTCTGATGCATTATTATTTGAAAATATTGAACTACTGTTAAGAATAATTGACATAATATCAATACATTTTTTTACAGTATTGCGCTGAAAGTGTGATAAAATCTAAATTATTTTCAACTTTACCGCACTGCAGTAAGAGCCGTCATTTATTTTTTCCACTTCAACCCTGACACCTCCCTCTCTATGGGGTCTTAAACCTGTCTTATGGGCTACGAGTTCAGCTTTTTTTAAAGACGGAACCAATCTTTCGCAGCGATCGCGTATTGCCGCTGCCTGATAAGGGCAAACGGTAAGATCCGAGGATTCGAAATCTCTTAGTCCTCCCAAAGTCGTCAGACCATCACTACCAGGAATAACGTAAGTATTAATTTCGCCGTAAGAAAACGTTCTTAACCAAGGTGCTCGTACCTATAAAATTAAAAATTAAAAACATAATGGGCGAAATTTTTTTTTTTTTTTTTTTTTTTTTTTTTTTTATTGAATATGTTTTTTATGTTATGATAAAACGACTATTTACATAGCATAAAGCTATCGTTATATTACCTAATATCTCACTAAACAACCTACGTAATGTGAAAATAGAAATAAAGGTTGTAACGACATTGTAATAGGGCACGTATAATTCAGTATAAAATTTGCTCGCTTATTATTTCCCTCGTTAATGCACTTGAAAAATGTACCTTAATAACTTGACCTTTAATTGGAATCATTTTTCTATCTTGACAAAGTATTTTTGCTCCGAGTCCCGTACAATTCATGATAAGATCATAATCTTTTGCGAGCTCCTTTAATGAAATTATCGGCTTTGTAATTAAAATTGCCCCCGATTGAATCAGTCTGTATCGATAAAAAATAGGAATCTTTTTTATTTGTAACTTATGTTTAATTACCATTTAAGATCGTTTGCATACTTACTTATTTTTTGCCCACTTAAGATATTGATTTGGCTGAGTTAATAAAGTTGATATGAAGCATCCGTATTTCCAATTATCACCAAACATAATCATTTCCGACTCGTTGACTCGTCGATAAATTGGAACTAGACCTTCCATCCACTCATTCTATAAATCAAGTAGCCGAATAAATACAATCGTATCTTTTTCATTGAAAAATTTGCATTCTCATTACGAAGATATCAAAATAAAAGGTGCACCTTCACATTATCATGAGAATTTGAAAAAATGTATCCGGAGATCCTGGAAACTCCAGCCTCCGAGGCCTCTCTCGATTTAACAATTGCTTCATAAAAGCTATAGGCATCCGTTATCCATTTTCTGAATAATAAATAAAAGCTTTATATTGGCCGTCGCGTTCTTATCCTTTTAATTAAAAATTATATAACAAATTTTCAACGATAAATAACAGAATAAAACATCTTGGGAAGATGAAAAGAAGCATAAAAATCATGGACTCGTATTACATTTTCGACAAACAGATTTTAATTCATCTACTTATTATTTTGTTATTCCCTTAAAACGCGGCTTTCATGCATCTTTAACGAAGGAATGTCGGAGTAAGGAAACCTTGTAATGCTTTCGCTGGGACTTGAGTAAGCGGCGCCCACGCGAAATATACCCGCAGCCACATGACTTGTCGTTTGCTCGAAATTTTCAGCTATCAGATCGAGGTGCGCGTTGCGCAATTTCTCCTGTATTATCAGAGCTGTTGTCAACCCGACGCAGCCTCCGCCCACTACGGCAATCTTCATATTACACCGTTACCAAGTCTATTTATTGCGTATTTATATTATTGTTTCCCGACACTAGTCATCATACATAGAGCCTTGTTATGTATTTTTATCGCCTCTCTCTCTCTATCTCTCTCTCTCTCTCTCTATTAAATCCGTGTTATTTTCTTAAGTATTCTATCGAAATTGAGAGTTTAAGATATTACGATTGCACGACCGTAAGCCTTAATTAAAACTAAGCCAATGTATGCTAACCGTTAATTACATGTGTATAATTGTAACGAAGCCTTTAACCCAATGACCATTGGGAGTAGTAACTTGTGAAATACGAGCAAATGAGTAAACGAATCCACTCGACAAGCGTATGTAATAATTTATATTTTTATTCCGATCGAGGACGTTGTATTCCTTGTTGGTCTGAAAATAAGTAAATTTTACCAATATATGGCGGCGCGTCATGTCCGCGTCAGTTGCTCTGTTTGAATTATGAAATATTTAAAAATAAACTTGCATAAGCAATGTACTTACAATATTAACATTGTTTATTGTTTCATAATTTCATTGAAACTTTCAAATAGTTCGTAAAAACCTATGAATGAAATCATTGTTATTTTTTTTTTTTTTTTTTAATAAAATAGCAAATATTATAATTTTATGAATATTAGGTGCAGAAGAATATTAGGCATTTTGAATTACTTAATTAATATATGTATATATATATATATATATATATATAGTAAATGTAATATATACATGTTCACCAAGTATCGAAGAAACGTATTATTCAATCGTTCATCACGTACATTGGTTTCATTCTTTATTTTCCAGTTTTTGTTTTTGTTTTTGTTTTTGTTTTGTTTTGTTTTTAAACTATTTTTAATGTAATAGGATTGAGGTAAATAACATACAAAATTTTATAAGTGTTTACAAACGAAAAGTCAGGCGACTTTATTTTTTCTATATGTACACGATTTTTTATTTTGCATAAAAATAACGTTGCTCCATTCAATACCATTTTAAAGCAGTTACAATTTATTAAGAAATCTACTTAATTTGGTAGCAGATAATAAAATGACGAATAAAGAATTAACAATTGTGACAAACAAAATACAAGATTTAAATGTAATACAAGTAAAGTTGACTGAATGAGAAATGTCAATGTTTCTAGAGAAATATGTGCTCAGACAGCCTTAAGCGATTAATTAAACAAAAAACATTTTATACAGCCCTTTGTAATTATTTTTCTTCTTCTTCTTCTTCTTCTTCATCTTCTTCTTCTGCTTCTTTTATAATGTTTTCATCAGTATAATACTACTGTCTTGTTCTATAAAAGAATATCTATTTACAAGAAATCACTCATATATATTATAAATCATACTGAATATAGTATGATCATTAACCTCTCCCTTTCTTTTTTCACGATGCTGTATTAAAAACGTGAAAATTTAAAGGGACTGTGAAGATACTAAATAAAAATTATGTAATAAAATTCTAATTACTTATATTATTTTGAACATAAAGCAAACAAGAACGATCACGCTAACTAATGCTATAAGTATTAATTAAGATTTACAATGAAATAGATCATTTTTATTATAGAAATAGAGAAAAATTTACATTATACAAAAAAAATGATTATATTTCACTATAAGGCAATTCATATTTGTGTATAAAAAAAGAAAAAAAAAACTTTTAGTTAAATTGCTTTGATAATATATACTTAATTGTATTAATAAGACACGAAGTTACTTGTTATTTTTCCATTATAAATGAAACATACCATACAAATGAAAATATTTTAAACTGTGCGTGTAAAAGTACGTTTGATATATACGTTTGTTCGATTATTAATGCACAGCTTTTATTACAGAAAGAAAAATGAATAAACGTCAAACGATGGTAGGTTTGATGTCGCGCGTATGTAATCGTATCAAAAAACATTTTCATTCAATGTAACTTCCACCGATTAAAACAACGCTTTGTTAACGTGTGACTTTAAAAAGCATTATTAAAATATAACTAGGTTATTTACCACTGATACTCTTTTGTTTCTTTTTATCAATGAAGTCGAAAGCGTTTTTACACATATCATTCGTATTTCGTTAATGTATATATATATATATATATATATATATATATATATACCCGACAAATTATTCAAAATTGTAAAGTTTCGCGATTAGATAAACAGTCTTTTAAAGCTTGAATATATTATCCGGATTATAAATACTTACGAATATTGAAATACCCATACGATTTACTACCCTTCAATGTAAAAGTATTCTTAAAAATAAGATTTTTTAAAATTTCACCACTTAAAAACTTGCCGTCCCGAGCCATCATTAGCGTGATCGCCTTTCTACTCAAAATTGACAGTCTGCGCAATTTCATAGCAACCATCGTCTCTCTTTTCGCATTTGCCCAATATACCAAAGGAAAAAAAAAATCTAAATCCTAGATAAACGCGTTCCTTTCAACAGATTTAAACTAATGTTTACACGAATACGTAATTTCGTATTGCATGGCAAAGGACTCTCCTCGATATTTTGCTCCAATTAATTGAGCGCACTTCAGACCCGAGTAAATACTTATTTAGTAGTATTGCAAGAAACATTCGACTTGAAGAATCTCTCTCATCTCAGCGTAGTAATATTGTGACAATAATAACGGTAATAATAATAATGTTTTTGAATAAAAATAAAAAAATAATAATAAAAAAATAAAAATAAAAAAAATAAAAATAAAAAAAAAAATAATAATAATAATAATAATAATAATAATAATAGTAAATAAAAAATAATAAGAGCCTAAGCCTTGCTACAAGGCTGTATAGAGTAGTTTAATGGTGGTGGCGGCACCAGAAGAGGCAGTGGAGTCGGGGGTGCCTGAACCTGTGACAGGCTCGTTGCGGCACCCGAACTCGACAATGTCGCGCCGAGATCCGACGACACGATCATGGTCGAGGCAGTGGCGCCGTTGGCGGCTGAAGAGATCGAGCCACTGCTGGGGCCGAAAGTCGCAAGGTAGCTTGGCCATAGGTGAGGTGGCGGCGGTGATCCGGGAGGCGGAGGCGGGGGCGAGCGGTCGTCCATGTCGTCCGAGTCATCTAGCACCATCGCCGAGAGTGGCGGTACTTTCGGCTTTTTAAGCTTGATAATTTTTACCTAAGGATATTAATGGCTCTCATGTTTAATTTGCTTTCTGCGCGTGATTTTATAATTCTTATTGTCTTAGCGGTCAATATTAATGTCTTTCTTTTTCTTTTTCTTTTTCTTTTTCTTTTTTTTATTAATGATTGCAAATTGTCAGAAATGTAACGCGACAGTCCGAATTCATGATACATTTACGATAAGGAGACTGGAGAGATTCTATGATTAAAATGAAGATATATGGGAAGCTCGGCTGGTCTTGGAATTTGTTGTAAAAATAAAAATCCTCCGACCCTACTTCAGCCCGAGTACACATTGAGCGATAATTATTAGGCTGATCATCGATACTGCTTGATAGTTGTATAGAAAAATTGTTGTTTAAAAAGAATGCCCGACGAATAGATGAACATGATGAAAATGTACATGTTTCGCATGCTTCTACTAAGCATTTTTGTTTATTTACCTTAACTTTCTTCTTCGTCTTTGGTGGCTTTAGGCGCTTTTGTTTCTTTCGAATTTTTCTCGAGCGTAATTTCTTCGAGATATCCAGCGACAAATCGCCTCGGGGAAGATTACTAACCGGCGGCGGGGGGGATGGCATATCGCCCTCTCCACCACTCGGACTCGTGCCTTCGCCAGGCTTTATCCCATCGGCAAATTGTACGGATTTCTTCATTCTTATTTTTTCAAACATTTTTAAAGCGACCGATGTCGCTGACTTTGCATCTTCCTCCTTTTCCGCTTTCATATTAATTATCTTGGCTTCGTCCTTTTCTTTCTCAGTATCCGTGTCTTCAAGATCGTTCAAGATTCCATTTGTCATCGATAGATTTCTAAAAATATGGCGAACAAAAGAAATGACGAAATAGTCTCTATAATTTATGTACGTTATTAAGTACGTAAAAATCTACATAAGTACGATTGTATCTGTACGATCGTACAGGTGCAGAGTCTGCTTTAATCCAACACTACCTTCAAATTATTTTAAACCCGATATTTGACATCGCGATACGCGATAACTAAGATATTTCCGGAATATAGCGGATATCTTACCCAAAACCTGGCAGAATCAGAATACCCTTGGCTGGAGGTGGAGGGATGACAGTAACGCTCGCATCTTCCTGCTTAAGAATGACCGGTGCCTCTTTATTCTCCTCCTCGTTATCATCCTCCGCTTCGAAATCCTCGTTCTCCTCCTCGTCCTCCTCTGCCTCCTGCTCTTCCTCCTCGTCCTCTTCCTCCTCACCGTCTTCCTCTTCCTCCTCGGTCTCTTGCGATTGGGAAGGTGCGGCTTCCTCGGTTTCCTCGCTCAACGGTACCATTGCGATCTTCGGTTCCTCTACTTCCGGATCCTCGACAGCAGCATCATCTTCGACGGTCGTCTTACCAAATATCCCAGCACCAACGACCGTAGAACCGGGAACAACCTTCGTCTTGCCAAGAATCTTTTCGGCACGGCGCTTCGCTCGCTCGAAGCG